TATTTTTCTGCCTTGAACTATCTTTGAAGAGACTCCTCCGGGCCTTGGGCCTATTGTCTTAAATATATTGAAATTGAAATTAAAATCATGATATTTTATATATCGTAATGTTCCCTGAGAAAATTGTTCCAATTGAAATACGAACGCATATACTGCCTTACAATTCTTCGTTCCTGTAGACGTCTAGCTTTAAGGAACCCCTCGAGGTAAAAATCCTTGCCATCTAGATTCATGTAGTCCGCGAAACGCTCCTCTGCACGGACTGTCTGTCTAGTCGTGTTAAGCGTAAGGCCTATTTACCGGGCAGCCGCACAAGTATCAACATGACTCACTCATTTGCCGGGACCTGGCGGCTCAGCCAATCACAGTACTGCGCATCGCTGCCGTATCGGCGCAAAACCACGGTTTATATTATTAGAGTTTGTAAATAGGGCATCCAGCATGACTATTCTAGCGGTAATTCGTTTTTTTGTTCAAATTTGTACAAATATTTAAGAATTACTCATCACTGTCAACCTAGAACCCCTTTAAAACCAAGCGCGTTATGCCGGATTTGCATTTTTGGTCTTGTTATCGATAGCTTTCTAATGAACGTTTGATTGTATATCTACGTGATTTCATTTTGAGTAATGACTCGGAAGTGTAGGTTTTACCAATAGGCTACTTTTAAATGTCAAAGAGGAATGCAATGGGACAGAACTACTGTTATATGGCATTTACACATGTTGATGTTAGTTTATATTCGCGTGCATAAATAATCAAAAATATCTTACAAGACCACGAAAAGTCGATTGATTTGATCGAAATCTGTTTTCCCGTTAAGTACTTTCAAGGAAACTGCATGGCATCTAAGATATAAAGCGCTTGCTAAAAACATATTTCTACTAACAACGGAATTTAAGCCCTGCAACTGAAAGTCTTCCCAGTTTTTATTGCTTAGCCTGTGGTGGGGAAGTGCGAGTATTTCACGTGAAATAGGATGTTGGCGTTGATGCCTTTCCAAACCCCAAAATGTACAAAATGAGCGCTAATAGTATACCCCGTCTTTGCATATGAACTCGGGCGTCTTAACCACCAATTTGATTGTGTTGGCCAGGCCTTTTGAGGTTCATCTGTCTTGCAAGCACAAGTATGCTTACGCTGGCGAAATCGCTAGGAAATCTCTTCAAAGCATTTTTGTACTTCAGTGAGCGGTTCCCAAAATAACTTAATCTACTTCTCTTTGTCCTGTTATGAGCATTTTCACTTAAACAACCCTTGAAACATAGCATTTATGCTATTCGACTGCAAAAATTAATACATTTCCCCTTTTCACCTAATATTTTCCCTCTACCTACAGAATTGTAGATTTGATCCTTGCAAAATCTTCGTTTTTCCACATAAGCTTGAAAATGTTTTACTTTCTATATTCCTATGAGTATCTAAATAAGTACTTGTTATTAGGATGAATCTAACATCAGAAAAACCAAAAGGCGCACTTAGTGAAGTCACGGACATCTTGGCAGAAAAACTTAATATCCATGAACCGGAAGATCCTGAGCGCGTAGACCCCGATTCTACGGCGAAAAAACGAAAGAAAAAGAAGAAGAAGGTAACTAAGACAGGTATGTTAAAAATTTCCTTTTTCATGCTTCAGAACCCGAACAAGCAGCAGATGAGGCAGACACAGGTATTAAGGTTGCACACTTATGACTTTGCTAGTTCCTGATGCGCAAATTCCACCGACCACTGTTGCGCCAACAAGTGGTGAAGGCCCAGCAAAGAAGAAGAAATCAAAAAAGAAGGGTTCGTTCTGTTTATATTTTTATCTGTGTTAAGGTTCTCTGAAACAAACGGATCCGCCGTCTATTCCTGTTGGCCAACTTTTTCCAAATCGAGATTTCCCCATTGGAGAAATTTCGGAGTATAAACTTGGGACAGATGGGTATGTAGTTTAATTCTGTTATCGCACTTTCATAATATTTCAATTTGTGGGTATCTTTGGCCGATTTACCGGACGGGAGGCGCCGGATGGCGATTTATGATTTAAGTAGCCTATGTGTCTAACTTTTAGAACGAATCCTCCAGATTATATTTAAAAAAATCGCACAAGCTCCAATCCAGCTATGCTAGTCGCAGCAGAGGAGACTTGTTCGTTTTCCCAATGACATTTCGCAGTATCTTGCAAGTCGAACGTATTTTCATGAATTTTAAGGCTCTTTGGCAACCTTGAGTACATGCCAGCTACCAACAACCGCTCAGATTGTTTATTCGAGCTTGTCTCCTCTAGCGCGTTGGCCTAAGAACCTAATCGCAAGGCAGCGATGGCAAGCAAATGTATTCACTGTTTGTTCATGGTCGCCCCGCCACAGTGCCGTAATCGGGCTTTGCTGCATTTTATACGACTGTCAATGTGCCATACCCCAGCCCTACGCGCCCTGCCGGGCTCGGGGGTCTGCTTCCTAGCTCTCCGACACCTGCGTACGCGTCCAGTAATTAGTAGCAAAGCTAACCGATGACCCATCTTCCCGGTT